GAGGCTGGTCAGGGGCCAGGTGCACATTCAAGTATGAGTAGGGCCGGATAGGGAAAAGCCAATAAAGGGGTTATTGGGGAAGTCGGGCGCTGCAGTAGGGCGGGCGGGGCGGGCGGCGCTCCTTCGTCATGTGCAGCGCGGCCTCCTTGTTGAGAGGGTCGTCTGGGTTGGGCTCGAGGATGAGGAACTGCAGCCCCATGATCACCGATTGGATCGTGAGCACCGGCTTCCAGTCCTCGCGCAGGATGTTGAGGCAGACGGCGCCCTCCATGTCGATGTTCGGGTGGTAGATTGTCGTGAGGCACTGCACCTTTGGCGGGTCGTGCGGGTACGCGGACGGCACCGTCACCTTGAAGACGAACTTCCCGTTCCTGTAGATGCCGTCGGTGGCCTTGATCGTCAGCTCAAAGTTCATCAGGTCCTCCTTGCCGTTGGGAAACGCGAGCTTGCAGCCGTGATCGAGCGTCAGCTCGCTCATGTCTGTACGGAGGCGGAGCGAGCAGGGCTGGGGGTGCGGCGTGCGAACATCGAAAGGGCGGGCACGCCGAGCGGCCGCTCGCTCGGGGTGCCCGCGGCTTGAACCGCGTCCGGGACGCGGGCGGCTGGCGCGGACGGCGGCGGTGCGGGGGCGCAGCACCTTTCTGCATGCGGATCAGCCCGGGCGCGACCTTCGCCGTGGAGCTGCCAGCGGCGGCCTCCTTGGCCTTCTCCTCCTTCAGACTGAACAGCTTGATCATGAGCGGAGCAAGAAGAGCTGCAAGCCTTCGTCCCGCCGCGCTTCCGTTTTGGCGCTGGCTGGCTGTTCAATAATAAAATGAACTGGCGGGCACGGGACGCGGTTATCGTGCAGTTTTGTGTTTGTGTCTATGCACACTTACTTACCTAAAACAGAACCCCAGATCACGACTGTCGAGAAAAGACGCCGTTGACAAACACGACTTCTTGAGATCGCATCTCTCAGAGAGATTCTTCCCGGGTGTCAAGTACATGTAGTCCACCTTCAGCGAGTAAGAGCGAGTAAGAGCCACATCGCACTGAGAAACCGGGCAACAACTTAAAGTGTAATTTGCTTGAAACGTCTGACCGTTGTTTGGGTGGGGCGCTACGAGTATGCGCGACCACGAGTGCGCCAGCTGTGGTTGCGCGCTGCTCGGGCCGAACGGGCAGCAACTCGTCTCCTTCGCCTCGGCCCCGCCCGCGGAGGAGGCCGGTGACGGTCAAAAGCTGTTCTGTCGTGCTTGTCGCGACGAGCGCCTCGGCCCGCCCTGCCGAGGTTACGCTCGCGCTCGAGCGGGTCACAAAATGGGAAACCCTCGTTTTCTAATCACTCGGTCCCCCAACGCGCAACGGAAGAGGCCTCGCTCCTATTGGAACACTCCAACATCAGATTTGCCTCGTGCGTCCCTTTTTGAGGTGGAAATCTATTTTCTTTTGGGTCCTGACTACTGTGGGGTGTGGGCGCACCCTACCACACTGCGACCCCGAGAGAACAGAGATTAAAAAACATTCGGGCCACGCGGCGTGTGAATAACAAGGCTGTGAATCGGTTGACACCGTCGGTGTGCTCGTTTGACTTTGAGTTTTTTCCCTTTTTGAGGATTGAGCCATGAGAGCGCGTGCTTTTAGGATGTAACGAAGCATGTACCATTTAGCTTTTATTTTTGCGTTTTTTCTAAAATCACATTCACGTATAATCGCGACCAGGCCTCACAGGCCCCCGCGTGCGCCGAGCTAATTGCAGGAGAGGGGTGGGCGAAAAGATCAGCGGCAGCTGCTTACCCTCTGGGGGCACTGCGCTAGCTGCGCGTCATGATCCACCCCTTCCCCGCACGGCTGCATCTCGGCGCACGCAGGCCGGCCAGTCCGCTGTGCTCCGGGCGGCGCCTAGAGCTGCTTGAGGATGTTGGAGCGCTGCACGACCCACTTCTTGAGGTCCGGCCTGCGGAAGAGGGGGAGGGGGAAGGGGAGGGCTGGGAAAGACGAGAGGGGTTGGGGGGCGTGCGGGCGGCGGCACTTCATCGATCCGGACACCATCTTGTTGAGTCGCTCGAGCTGCGCAGCCACCTCGGACTTGTCCTTGGCCTTCCACTTGGACATGAAGTCCTTCTCCTTGTCGGAGCAGCCCTGGGAAGAGGCAGCGGGAAGGGCATGGCGCGGGCGAGCGGCGTGACGCAGGGCTGCCCCCCCCCCCCCCTCCACACGGCCAGAGGGCGGGCCACACGCGCGCCTCGTCGTTGTCGATGAGGCACTTGACCTCGAGCTCGTCCTCAACAAACTTCTTGAGGGAGTCGAAGTCGCGGCCGCCGCTGTAGTCGGTGCCCTTGGGCGCCTCGGCCGTGAAGTACTTTATCGTCGGATACCTGGGCGGCGGGCCGCGGCGGTGGCGGCGGTGCGGGGCTGGGCGGCGGCGGAAAGCACGCGGTGGCGGCGCACCCCCGGACCTCGTACGTCTCGCACAGGTCCTTGGCGGAGGCGGTGCAGTCCGCGTCGCCTGGTTGCGCCGGGCGCGTCATGAAAACAATGAGGAGAGCGCGGTGGCAGAGTTTGGCGATGTGTCGTGTGTGTCACACCGATGACAACCGAGCTTGAGGAGGAGTACTCGTCGCCGAGCTGGTCCCAAGCCGGTTTCATCGACTTACAATGCCCTCACCAAGGCGCGAGGAACCTGTCGCACAGCGGTGGGGTGAGTCCTGGGCGAACGGTGGCGGAGACGGGGCGGCGCGCGAGCACACTTGACAAAGGCGTTCTTTCCGGATTTGGTGACCAGGTCGTCGAAGTTGGAACCCGTGAGCTCGACGGCCCCAGCAGACGCGCCGGAGATTAGCCCGAGAAGCGCGGTGGCGCGCAACATATGGGGTGCGATGACGTGTGCGGTCCAGGTGCGGTCACTTCGAGCGCGAGAAAAACTTTTATACCTCGCCGACTGCACTCCAAGAATTTTAAAATCCCTGTGTGGTGGCGGCGTGCCGTCCTCCCATCCCTCCCTTGGGTTGTCTGTTTTCTTTCTTTCTTTCACTCCAAGAATTCCCATCCCTCCCTTGGGTTGTCTGTTTTCTTTCTTTCTTTTCCAAGAATTCGTGTCCCTTGTCAGGAGCAGGAGAGCCCCACCTGTCCCCCTGATCGTCCTTGCAAAATCCTGCTCGTGCAGGTGGGGACCCTGTCCTCCTCCCCCATGCCCCATCCCTCGTCTGGGTTTGTCTGTTTTCTTTCTTTCTTTACTCCAAGAATTGGTGAGAAACTGCGGAGAGAGATAGGAAGTGGTAGACGCCCGAGGGTGGGCGACGGCTAGCACCACTCTTCTCCCCTAAAATCCCTGTGTGGTGGCGGCGTACCGGCGTACCGTCCTCCCATAAAGAAAGAAAGAAAACATAAGCCCAGACGAGGGATGGGGGAGGAGGACAGGGTCCCCACCTGCACGAGCAGGATTTTGGAAGGACGATCAGGGGGACAGGTGGGGCTCTCCTGCTCCTGACAAGGGACACCGATCTCCCAAAGTGTCTGTTTTATTTCTTTTTCTTACTGCGCACTCCAAGTGGTAGTGCTCCAGAGCTCCTTGTCTTACTCGTTTGGGTACATTCTTTTTTCTTTTTCTTTTTTAAAAGAAAACCGTGGGATAGGAAGAGGCAGACGCCCAAGGATGGGCGACCTACAAGCTCACGCCTCACGAGACACGGGTGCGCCCTGCCGGGGGGGCGAGGGAACCCGAGTGCCGAGATGCTGCTTGCTCTGGGGCGAGGCCTCGCATCGACGAGACAGCGAGCGCACAGTTCCCACAGCAGGCTGGAGATACCTCGCCAAGACAATGGGACATGCGAACGACGTACCCAAACAGCAACGTGCACAGCCGAGTGAGGAACTACGAGATTGCAACCGTGGTAAAGAACCCGCTCGCAGCTCAGTCGATCAGGTCCTTCGCCTTGAGGTCATGGAGGATCATCAGGCTGGTCACCGAGAGGTCGGCGCGTGGGCAGTCCGAGGCGATCCAGCGCAGCTCCTCCACCTGTTGGTAAGTCGAGGCGTGCGAGGGCGCTGGGCTGTGAGCACCAGCCGTGCGAGGGCGCTGTGAGCGGCGACCTCATCGTTCGCAGCCAGCGTTCCATCATACTCGGCCGTGAAGCATGTCATCCTCACCATCGTGCCTTCCGGCTTGCCGTGGGCCTGCGCCTGAAATACGCCGTACGGCTCGATGGTGCCGTCGATCAGCTCGACGCTCAGCTCCTCACGGCACTCTCGCCTCAGCGCTGCCTCGTCGCTCTCGCCGGCCTCGCGCTTGCCTCCCGGCGTAAAGAACGCGGTTTTGCCTCGCGAGCGCGCGACGAGCTGCTTGCGATCGCGCACTAGCACGAGGGCTAACTTGTCGATGAAGAGAGCGGTCGCCTCGGCTGAAGACGTCGACGCGTCGACGCACGCCACGACTGGTTGCCGTTGTGGCATCCTCGGCAGCCAAGGTCTGAGGGTCGGAGGATGGCCCGGCAATTTGTGTTTTTCTTGAGAGAGAAGCGCCCGGGGGCCCCCGAGGGCCCAAGCGTCAAGAGGGGAAACGTCACAGGAGGAGAAAAAGAAACCGCGGCCGCGAGAAGTCACCGAGGCGCTGCGGCGGCGGCAGCCCTCCGAGTTACAGGCGATGCACCTCTCGGCCCTTCAGCGCACCCACGAGGTCTACCGGCTCGCGAGGGAGAAGGTGGACGCGCAGGAGCGCGACGAGGCTGCGAGCCGCTCGCGCGAGGCCTCGCCGCCGTCTGCTCCGCGCGACACGACGACCGCCCGGGCTGCGGCGGAGCGGGAGCTGAGTGAGAGTTTGCGCAAGGTGAGGGCGGCGCAGGCGGCGCAGGCGCTGGCAAACCGGCGGGCGGCCGAGGAGCGGCAGCAGCTCCAGACGGCGCTCCGCGAAGCGCGCGAGGTGGCTGCGCAGAACGCGGCGCACTCTCGCGAGGAGCTGCAGCAGGAGCGGCAGCGGCGAGCCGCGCTGCAGCAGGAGGCGGAGCGCGAGGCGGCCACGACGGAGGCGCCTCGTCGTCCACGCCCAGCCTCCGCGCGCCTCGGCAGGCCGCCTGCTGACGGTGCTGTTGCACCGCCCGCCGCAGGTGCAGCTGGCGACGGCGCAGCAGCGGCTCGCAACACGGGAGGCGGCCGCCAAGAAGGAGGCGACCGGGCTCGAGGCGATGCTGATCGACGCGCAGAGCCGTCTCGAGGCGCGCGGCCGCGTCCTGGGACACGCACGCACACGCCAGTGCACGCGTGTGCGTTGCACGGCGAGGGGGGCCGCACACGCCCCAGCCCCACTCCTCCGCCGCCTCCTCCGCCTCCTCCCGCCACCCCCAGGCGCTCGAGCAGGAGCTGCACAGCCAGAAGGGCGCGCTCGCCGAGTCCCGCCGGGCGCTCGCCGCCGAGGAGAGGCCCGTGCCGCCCGTTGAGGAGCCGCCGCTCGCCGTCTCGCTCGAGCCGCCCGCAGAGCCTTCTGAGCCTCCGCCCGCAGAGCCGCCCACACCCGCCACGCCTGCGCTCGAGACGACGCCGTCCGCTGCGCTCGAGGCGGAGGCGCTCACCGCGGCGATGGCGGCGGCGGCGGCGATGCGCGAGGCGGAGCCGCCGGCGGCCGAGGCGCCGCTCTCGGCGGCGGCGGCCGCCCGGCGGGCCGCCGCCCCTCCCACGAGCTCGATGACGTCTAGCTTCTCGCTCTTCGACGCCGCCCTCGCGAGGCGCGGCGCGGACGGCGAGAGCCTGCTCGTCTTCGGCGGAGGCGGCGGCGCGTCCAAGACGGGCGTGCCGAACGCGCTCGTTGTGACGCGGCTCGACGCGAGCTGGCAGATGCAGCTCGTCGGCGAGCACCGGACCGGCCTCGCGCCCGTGCAGTCGCTCGCGCTCTCGCCGACCGCGGACAGGCTCGCCTGCCTCCAGGGCGCCGACGTCCTCCTCTACAGCGGCGTGGATGCGCCCGCCCCTCCGGCCGAGCCGCCCACGTGGGAGTCGGTGGCGACGGTGGACAAGAAGCGGCCGCCTCCGCCGCCGCTGTACGCGAGCCCGGCGATGGTGCTGCGCGGGCCGGACCCGGACCCGGAGGCGGACGGGATCCGCAAGCCGCGCCTGCCGGAGGTGTACTCGCTCGCGCTCTCCCCCGACGGCACTCGCATCGCGGTCGGCATCGACGACGGCTCGCTGGTGATGATGGAGGCGGCCGCGCAGGGCGAGTGGCGGCAGAGGCGGACGGGCAGGAGCCGCGCGCGACGGGGGTGGCGGCAACCTCGTCAGCCGCGGCGGCGCCGTGAGTAGGTGGAAGGAGAAGCGGCACGCGCGCGACCTCAAGTCGCTCGCCTTCTCGCCCGACGGAGCCGTCGTCGCCTCGGCCGCCGACGACGCGCTCTGCCTGCTCTGGCCGGCAGAGGGGGGCGAGCCGTCCGAGGCCGCCGCGCGCTCGCGTCTGGCCGCACGGCCGCGCCCCGCGTCGCCCCGACGGCCCCGCGGGTGTGCGAGTAGGTGGCTCAGCCCGCGTTTCGGTGGCACAACTTCGTGACGCCGGCGCCCAAGCGGCGCGGCAAGCCGCTCCCCAAGACGGCGGCGTGGCGGTGCGTGCTGATGGCGGAGGGCAGTTCGAGCGGCGCGTCGCTGTTTGGCGCTCTCAACCACGCCGCGGGCGTCGGGCACGTGCTGCGCGCGGCGGTGCCGCGCGGCGGCAGCGGCGCCCGGGTGGAGCGGTGGGCAAAGGTGACGCCCAACCGGCTGACCGCGCTGGCGCTGTCGGCCGACGGCGCCCTGCTCGCAGCGGGCACCAACGAGGGCGAGCTGCATGTGCTGCAGGCCTCTTCCCTCGCGCGGCTGGTGCGGCTGCAGGAGCACCCGATGTACGTCGCCGTGCTGGTGCTGACCGAGCGCGACGCGGCGGGCGGGTACGCCGCCATCTCTTGCTCGACAAACGAGGTCAAGGTGACGCGGCTGCCAAAGGAGAGGCTCGTGCCTCCGACGCTCTCCGCCGACCGGCTGCTGCTGCTGCTCGCGCTCCTCGCCGCCCTGGTCGCCGCCGCCTTCGCTCACTTCGCCGGAGGCGGAGGAGAGGCGCCCGGCGAGCCGCCAGCCGTGGTGGAGGCGCCGCCCGCCGCCCCGTGAGCGCAGTCGGGCCGGGCTGCGCCTCTCGGCCGAGCGGCTTCGTCCTCTGACGTGCCTCCGACGACGGTCTCCGCGCACGCCTCCCGCGCTCGCCAAGAGCGGTTGCGTGTGATAATATTGTGTGCCTCGGAGCCGCGCGCCCCCCCGCGCACGCCCGTGGTCATGAGTCGGCAACACGCACTTATTATCGTAGGGACAGCGCATGCGTGTGAGAGCGCCCGAAGTCGAAGTGACAAGTGAGAAGTGTATCTGCTGTCTGGGAACCGACGTGTAGACGTGTGTCCGTCGTCCGTGAGGCCGTTGCCCCCCCCCCCCTCCCCCCCACGCCCCAGCGCGTCCTCCCGTGGACGATATTGCCGCGCTCTTACACGGTAACTCATCCTGGTTCTTGCCACTCTTGCGCCCGTAAAAAACGAAGAAATTCGATGTGTGACGAGTATCGATATCGGATGACGATCGAGGATCGTCCGGAGAGCGGAGTCCGGTGGGAAAAATTCAAAAAATGCCTTCGCGCCGTGGGGCTGGGCTTCTGCCTAAGCCTTGTCGTTGTCGCGCCCGTCTCGGGCTTCGCCTTCGGGGCCAAGACGCAAGACCTGACAACCCCAAGAGCAAGACTTCGGCTTCGCCTTCGGCTTCGCAGCTTCGGCCTTCGGGGCTTAGTGCCCACTTCTAAGTAAAAGTATTAGAATTAGTGGGACAAACGGACATGTGTGTTCAGTGTCCAGCGAGCAGCGTCGCCCTCTCTCCGATTGTCGCGGCGTGTTTCTGATTGAAGAGAGGTGGAGACGGCCCGCCTATATGGACGGGACAGCCCGAGGCTGCACGAGGAGAGCGGGGTGCTCTCCGCGAATGGGGGGGTGCTGTGTGCGGGGTGCGGGGAGGAGGCGCCCGGGCTCGGGGCGCGGGACGGGGAGGGGGGGGGGTGGTGAAGGGGGGGGCGGGGGCGAGGAGGGGGAGGGGGGCGGTGGGGAGCGGGGGAGGAAGAGGGGGAGGGACTCGATTGAGGAGGAGGCGGTGGGGGTGGAGGGGGGGGGAGAGGGGGGCGTGTTTGGGGAGAATGGGGGACCGGGAGGGGCGGGCGGAGGGGGGCGGCACACCGAGCGGAGCGCGCGCGGGGGGGGGGGGGGGGAAAAAGCCAACCCCAAGACGAACACGGGGACCGGGACGCCAACCAAGGGAGGCCCGGCGGGTCCCGGGGGAAGGTTTCTGAAAGGGGCCCCCTTGCTT